TCTATCGCTATGATTTGAGCTCTCTATGGCTCATTGTTTCCCAGCTGGTTCAATCTCTCTATGGTTTGCCACTATTGCTAGTTCGTCCTCTCCTTGATTTCCTTCATTCTCTATTTTCTCATTGTTGTTTATTTTAGATATATATTTGTTTTTTCGATCTCTTCCTTCTATTGTGTTTTATGTGTATTTGTGGACCATTTTAAATTTGTTTACCAGGTATTTGTTTGGAGTTTGTTGTCGGTATTTGCTAAACAAGTTGATGCTGTAAAATATATGTTCAATCAAAAATAACAGGACCTTATTTTCTCCCTGTTTACATTAATATCATGACGTGTTCAATACCATGTCTTAACAAATATATATGTTGTATTCAACTTGAATGCAAATCTTGTTTGTTAGGAGACTCTTAATTGCACACATAAAAATCACCYACATTTTCTGAAATGTGTTGTGGTTAGAAAGATATATAGTTTCTGTTGACTTTTTTAAGGGTTTACAATTTTTTCTTTTTTTGAACTTCCAATGAATCTTTCTTTCTCTCTTGTTAAGATCAACTCACATCTTATGCTAAGTGGCCGTTTACTAAACACTTACCTTAGTAAGTGCTTAGCGATTCAATTACCTCACCGAGTAAACATAACAAGAAACGAGAATCTTACTTGGTAAAAGGAAGACAAGGATCATGACTCTTACCCAGTAAGTGCTTTACCGGGTTATAAATGCCTACCATCAATCCATTTTGATGGCAAGGAATGTCAACTCCATGAGATAAGTGAGGGTGGTGACTTTTGCTGGTAAGGGGGTGATGCTTTTAGTTACTGCKTTAAAAGCTTTTATTGGCTATACATCCATATTTATTTACTTTGTACTTTTCATTCTGTAGGGTGAACGCAATTTTAACAAATTTGGGGGTTGGTTAGGAAAGAACTCTACCATGGGAAAGAATTATAGACTTCTTGAAGATGTGCATGTTCATCTATTGGCATCCTCGCAATTTAATTCAGCCAGGTTTGTATTTTACTACTAGATCACTTTGTTGACCATAATATTGTTGAATAAGTTCTTGAATTTTGTTTCCCGCTAACTGTTTTCAAAATACATAATTGGTTCATGTGATCAATGTTTATTAATCAAGGTTGTGTATTCATAACTTTCTGGCTCAATTTCTGAATAATCTCTTTGAGTTCTCCATGCTTAATACTTCAATTACGTTAGTAAGCGCTTACCGATTTAATTACCTCACCGTGTAAACATAACAAGAAACGAGAATCTTATTTGGTAAAAGGAAGACAAGGATCATGAGTCTTACCCAGTAAGTGCTTATCGGGTTATAAATGCCTAACATCAATCCATTTTAATGGCAAGGAATGTCAACTCCATGAGATAAGTGAAGGTGGTGACTCTTGCTGGTAAGCACTTACCTGATAAGCATTTACCAAACTGCTTACCTTATTGTGTAATATTCCGGCCATCAAAATGGGTTATTTGTAAGCGTATTCAACCTGGTAAGTGTTTATCGGGTAAGAGTCTTTTCCCTCACTTATTGGGTAAGACTCTTGGTTCTTGCTATGCTTCTTAGTGGGTAAAATTCTGTGTTCTTGCCATGCTCCATTGGTAATGTAAGTGATATGTAAGCCCTTACMTGATAAATGTACAGTAAACGGAGTGTCTCATTGCTTCTTTGTAGGTGTAGTTCCTATTATACTTCAAAATTTCAGGTTCAGGGGCTCAATACAGTGAATGCTACCACTGTTGACAGTTTTGTCTAACTGGTGGTTGTCTGGGCTTGGATATTGAAAGTATCCATATCCAATTACATGGATGACGGATGACTTTTTTCATGTACATGCTCAATTTTTGGGATTAAGATTCTTTACTTAAATTTTGTTGCATATCATCCACTATTATTGTTTTGTAAAAGATGTTATGTTTTGGAACGGCACAATGGAGGTCTGGTTTTGACTCCTCAGTTTGGTCTATTTTGCAATTCAAATCATTGACGAGTTTGCATTATTTGCTTTGTTTCAAGAATATGCATTTTATGTTCTTATATTTTTCATTCTAAATGTATGCTTTCCTTTTTGCAACAGTTCATTACTTAAAGATCATCTAAACGTTCAAGTGGAGTCCCATGACAACACAATTTTTGACAACAATGTTTATATCTTTGAGGGCATGATGGTAAGGTAAACTCCTAGAATGTTGTATATCATAGACAAAGCAGAAAAAGCTCCAAACATCTCAAAGAACAGGCTTTCTTTCTATCATTTAGTTATATATCTTTTGGGTATTTTATGACATAATATGAAGAAATTGTAAAACGTCCTGGGAATTTCTTGCATAAAAAGAACAGAAAAATGAAGCTATCTTTTAGAGGAGAACATCAGAGGTCAGAGAAACAGATTCCTGATGCTCTCCTCTATGCCCTCTCCAAGCTTGAGATGGAAGCTTCATAGACGAGTTCAAAATCAAATAACTCACATCTTTTTTTATTTTATAAAATAGAGGTATATTCTTGTTAGCTCTTCTCAAAATTTTCATGTGATTGTTGATTTTGGGYATTTGTGATATAATCTTGAAGAAGGTTTTCATAACCTAACGTTCTTGTGTTCAATTTGATGTTTATAGGGTTCTTTTGTCTTGATTTTGGGCATTTGATCTTATAAAAACAATTTCGTGACGCTGTAAATGACTGTTTCATTCAGTTAAGTTAATTCTTACATATGATGGTTGTTTTTGTTAGAACCAGGTGTGTGAAATTGGAGTTTTTATTATTACCATTTTAGTTCAATTAACTAAAGTTAATGACCAGTTTGAGATGAAAAGGACAATAAAATAATTTTATAAAAGAAATTTTAACATCTCAACTATTTATTATTTATGTTAGGTGTTTTTGAGTAAAATAAAATACAAATATTTAGTTGCGCTCAGTAAAGAAATAAAATGGAACATAAGTAATCCAGTTTTAACCTTACGTTTTTTATTTATCGGATGTATTTATTCTAACAAAAACTATTTATTAGCAACAAGTGTCAAGACACGTCTTTTTTTTTTTCTCTTTGATTTTAATGTTTATAGGAATCAGTTGATTTATCTTCAAACAATTTTTTACTAAAACAAATTTTCTCTTTGATTTTAATGTTTAAATAATTTAATGTTATTTACTAAAATAAAACAAAGAGTAAATTAGTAAATTGTGTTGATTATTCAATTTACTTTAATTAGTTTTTTTATTTTAATATATTTATATATATACACACACAGGGACCAAATTCGGTGGCCTTCTCTGGCACCCGCCACCACTGAGGTGACCTCCTCCGGTCATCTTTTCTGACCGATACGCCGTCTCCGATGATCAACCACTAAATACCCACCTGTGACAGTGGTAGCACAGTTGGTGTCACAGTGATCTCAAAGTTTACTTGATGTGTTTTGAATATCTCATTATATGTATTTTGGGTGCACATTGTGTGTCTTGATGTATTTTAGGTATTACATGGTGTTCGTCGGAGGCCGGAGGTAGGAGAGAAAGAGAGATATGAGAGATAAAAAATTTAAAATACCTAAAATACCATTTAATTATAATTTTAAGTCAACTTACCAAAAATATTAGTTTTTTAATTTATCCATTGTTTTATGGTTGAGATTGGATCTCACAATTACCACAAACTAATCAGTATTCCCATAAATGGACCCATATAATATAACAAAATCTCATTTCAAGACGATCTTAAATATGACAATCAAACTTGAAAATTAATTCATCTGATAAATAAAAGTTAGGATTTAATATTTTTTATATCGTTATGGACTTTCGTAATTGTTATCTTTGTGAATGTGATTAGCTGAGATATATATATAAGTCAATATAGAAATGTTCCAATCATTTTGAAGACTCTCTTACATACTTTTGGATTATATTGTAAATTAAGATAACAAAGCTACGTATATGTTAAGCATAGATGATGCTTAAACCCAAAAAATTAACAATTTGATTATCTGAACCTGATGTACACAAAGAAAACAACGCCCTTTAAACAGGTTGATAAAATGGCATAAACACACGTAAAATTGAGAACTTTGTTCAAAATATCATATTTAACATGTTAAAGAACAATCTTCAGCTAACCCGATACAATAGTTACAACAAAAAGGTCATAGTAAAAGTAAAAATTACAACTCTAGAGATTAACAAAAATATTAGAGTTTTAAACTTAGAAGTTTAGAAAGCGATCTAATCTTGATTTCGCTATCAGAGCAAGTCCTGATATTCAATAAGAGAACCATATTGAAGATTAAACGTATGTCACTTTACCTAAATTCTTATGTTTCATTCCTCTTCCATTAATCAAGTAAAAATAAAATAGCTAATGTGTTTTTATATGATTGATGGACATGATACTAAAGTATTAAACCAAATAATATCAAGAGTATATAATAAACAATAAGAGGCCGTTTACCTAAATGCTTACCTGGTAAGCGCTTATCATTAGGAGGCAACACTTTAATTTATTTTACCGGGTAAGATTATAGCATATCAAAATGGTATCGTATGCAACAATTTACTCGGTAAGCGATTACCCAAGTAAGAGTCGTCACTTTCACTTACCGAGTAAGACTCTTCATCTTTATCATTGCACTTACCGGGTAAGATTTTTAACCCTTGTTATGTTTATCCGGTAAGAAAAATTACCAGTGAACGCTTACTGAGCAAGTGTTTAGTAAACGACTCATAAATTTTGAAATCTGTTACTAATTTTGAAGTTTTCCAAAACAAGCCCTTGATTCTTAAATCCTACAAGATATGGCCAAAAAGTTGCATATCTTCTGAAAGAGAAAACATGGTTACTACAAATAGAGAGAGAATTGTAATTATAAATATTTGGACATCCAATTTAATAAGTGAAAGCAGGAAGCATTTGTAGAGTGTTGGATCTGGAATCTTTATATAAATAAACACATATATGATATCTCCTCCTCCTCCTCCTCCTCCTCCTTCTCCTTCATTCTAGTTTCAATTGGACCCTTCACATCAATCACCCTTTTCCTTTCTCTTTTTCTTTGTCTTCCCCACTGTACACACACGGCGGCACAGACTTCCATGTACATTATATATACATATGTAGATACATATACAGTATACGTATTGTAGTTGATCATCTTCAGCTTGATTCAGATTTCAGGGGAGTGTGCAAGCTGGCACCATTGCATGCTCTCCTCAAAAAACCTTTACTCTTTTAAACCCCCCCCAATTTCTTTTCTTCAACTTTTCCCTTTGATTTCTTGATTTTTCTCTTGTGGGTTTTTGTGGATTTCGGTTTAATTTCATAGATCTGTTGCCCTTTTACCCTCGATATGAAATTGGTTCAGAAAGATTCAGAGAAGGTGATATGGGATCAGATGAGAACCCACGCATCGAACACGACATCGCCCATTTTGCCAAATCGGGTCGGCAGTGGTTTGCCCAAGCTCATGCTGTACCTTATCTTGTTCGTCTGTGCAACTTACCTCGTTTACACTCTCAAGCTTCTCAACACCTCTAATTTGCCTTGTCCCGAACAGGATTTGCTATTTTCAACTCGTGATTCGTTACAGAACATCACGCTTACTCCCGCGATCGTTGAGCCCGAGAAAACGGAGCTCAAACACATAGTTTTCGGCATTGCGGCCTCGGCGAAGCTCTGGGAAAAACGGAGGAATTACATCAGGTTGTGGTGGAAGAAAGAGGCAAAAATGAGAGGGATTGTGTGGTTGGATAACCCTGTCAAGACCCAACCCGATGATGGTCTACCGCCGCTTAAAATTTCCGGCGATACCTCACATTTTGCTTATAAGAACAAGCAGGGTCACCGGTCGGCGATTCGAATTTCCAGGATTATATCGGAGACGATGCGATTAGGGATGGAAAATGTGAGGTGGTTTGTGATGGGGGATGATGACACAGTGTTCATCACTGATAATCTTGTTAGGGTTTTGAATAAGTACGATCACAATCAATATTATTACATCGGAAGCTTGTCAGAAAGTCATTTGCAGAACATATACTTCAGCTACGGCATGGCCTACGGCGGCGGCGGTTTTGCCATAAGTTATCCTTTAGCTAAAGCTTTGGAGAAGATGCAAGATCGGTGTATTCAGAGGTATCCCGGCCTCTACGGCTCCGACGACCGGATGCAGGCGTGTATGGCGGAACTCGGCGTGCCACTCACCAAGGAACTCGGCTTCCACCAGGTTAGTGAAAATCTAAACCCCTCATTTTCATCGCCATTGCTTTGTAGGGTTGTACATCAAGCAAGTTTAGCTGTACATTTCACCTAGAACTCATCCATATATCAAATTGTTAGGTTGTAAATCATGCTTGTTTGGTTGTACCCAAATGGCCAAGGAGCAAAGATTTCTTGGTGTGACATTAGGAATAGCCATTACCTAAGCTAAGAGGGTTTATAAGCCTTGCGATCTCTTGAAAATTGCAAGTATGTTCTACTTTGGACTGCAATGTGCCCCTTTTTTGGCTAATTTCCGAGTTAAAGTTACATTTTTGCCATTGTCATGGTACTTCTGTTTATGGCATTCCTTTCTTTTATCATTATTGAAGGGTATTCTGAATGGTAAACTGATGGGGAAAAGTTTCGGCTAGTGGACTAATCTTGAGTAACGGTTTTACTTAAGATGGCATTAGGATCAATAATCACACACCGACAAAAGAACTTCTATGTGGTTTAGCAATTTGCCTAATTGATGGGATTCTTATTATGTCTCAATTGGCGGGACATTTGGGGCTCCATTTATGTGAAGAAAACCATATTCAACAGCGATATGACTCGAAAATCTTCACATTATTATATAACTGGAACACCAACATCTTAACTGTGGTTCCTGTTTTTTCTTACAAAGATGTAGCTTGGTTTATAGTCGAAATCAAGTTCCATAAGAGTAACCGACACAATGTACTGAAGTCTTTCACTTTTTCAACTTCCCTCGGTTTTATTCAGACTTTGCATACCTAACTTTAGTTGTTGAATAAATCTACTGTTTATTGTTTCTTTTCTGTAAAATCTTTCTCCATTTATTGTGGATATGGTGATGCTAAGCTAAGCCAAAACTCTGATTGAAGAAAGGGAGTAGAAAATAGGAATTGTTGTACACCAACAACATTTGACTATTTGTCTCTATTTACATTATTATGTGGTAGGGAAAACCTTCGCTGTCTTGGATTTCTAGTGGTGATATTTGGACAATAATTGTGCACATGGTGGTAACCTCCAGAAGCATAAATTATTGATGTGTACTGTTGTTGTTGGCCTTTTAACCTCATTTGTGTATGACTGTTAACTTCACCAGATTTGGCGTCAAGTTTGGTACTTTAGTAGAGGAATGGCTTACCCATGTAGTTAAAAAGGGTGTCTGATATGGGTCTAATCTTGAAATGGTTGTTTATTGAATTTTATTTTCTTAATTTTTTTTTTGTGGTTACTGAACTGTCACAAGAAAACTGCAAAGATCTCTGATGTTGGTGTTAATATTTGTTATTACTCTTCTCAAGGACTCTTTTGGAGAGTAATATGGGGGCTCTACATATTCTAGGGACTCGACACTCTGGGCAAAAAGAATTAAACGCATTGATTATAATTTGTACTAAATTTAGAAGCTGGCATTGATTCTAAGGTGTCTTTTTTTGTTGTGTTCAGTATGATGTGTATGGGAACTTATTTGGGCTGCTTGCTGCACACCCTGTGACACCAATAGTTTCATTGCACCATCTTGATGTTGTTGAACCAATTTTTCCGGAGGTGACAAGAGTTGAAGCTCTACAAAGACTAATGTTACCCATGAAACTGGACTCGGCTGGACTCATACAACAATCCATTTGTTATGATTCCTCAAAAAGTTGGACTGTTTCGGTTTCTTGGGGGTTTGCAATTCAAGTATTTAGAGGAATCTTGTCTCCCCGTGAGGTGGAAATGCCATCAAGAACTTTCTTGAATTGGTATAGAAGAGCAGATTACACGGCTTATGCGTTCAATACACGTCCTGTTGCCAGAAACCCGTGTCAAAAACCATTTGTGTTCTACATGACAAAGGTGCGGCTAAATTCCACGAGCAATGAGACCATAAGCGAATACGCACGACATCGTGTGCCTCACCCTGCTTGCAAATGGAAGATTCTGGATCCTTCAAACCTTGATAAAGTTGTGGTCTATAAAAGACCTGATCCACAATTATGGGATAGGGTAAGTCCAATAAAGATTATGTTTTATATTTTCTTCTGTTGTTACATAATAAAGATATATAGAGAGAGATGGTTATGATGATATGTGTTTTGTTGCATGCAGTCTCCAAGGAGAAACTGTTGCAGGGTTTTGGAGTCAAAGAAGAAAGGTTTGGTTGTGGATGTTGGTGTATGTGAAGAAGGGGAGATCAGTGAAGTATAATATAATAACAAGCGAGAGGGCGTTGCGATGGATTTGGCCTTTGTTCTTGTCTTGTTATTTCTTCTTGTAAGGTACCTTTTACCTACCTTCTTTGATGTTGATTTTTAGCATAATTTTTCTTGAAATTGAAGGCATTTAGCGTAAGTACATGGGTTCTTTGTTCTTTCCAGCAACTTGACTGATACATTAGGTTAGAAGAATTATGTCAATGTATAAACTTTTTGTGGGTTACACGCAATAAAAGCGAGATAATTGAGTGAGTGCATATTAGCTAGTTTCGTGAACCTTGCAATCGTTGTGTCGTCTTAACGTATTCGTTTGATCCCATCAGAGATTAGCGAAATAGGAGTCTTCATTTTCCCACACAATATACAGCTGGGACTTATCATCTCTAGAATACATGTGTTTTTTTGGCAAAATTAAAGCCATAGCTGCAGCTGCAGCTGCAGTGCAAGTATTATATGATAAGAAAAAGCATCCATCATTAATTAAAGAGAGTGTTGGATTGGATTTATAATAGTTATTATATATTAAAAATATTTGATTTTTGGGGTTACAAATGGCTTAGAGTCGCCACGGGTGAACCTCCACAAAGGTCTAGATTCGAAGTCGTGGAAGATTGAGAAAAATGTTCGGTTCGATTCTTGTTTTTTGTTTGTGGATGAACACAAAATGAAGATGAAAGATTTTAAATGGTTTTAAGTTTTGGATGAGAAGATGAAATGCAGGTAAGGTGGTTATATATACAGCCACTAAAATTTTGGATCCATACCATTGATTGATTAACAAAATGGCAAAAGAAGAGACACAAAAACACACAGCTGAACCTGTCCTGTATGTATCTTTTTTGGGATTCATTCCGTGAGACCAGCCTGTTTTCATGAGATCCGTAAGACCATTTTTTTATACTTGAAACTTTATAGCAAAACACTGTAAAAGGTAATATTTATAGTGTTTTTGCTGTAAATATTCGATTTTTCTATCTTTACAGTATTTTACTATAAAGTTTAAGTGTAAAAAAATGGTTTCATGGGTCTCACGAAAACAGGTTCTCTAGATATAAAATGATTTGTTGTTTTAGATTGATATTAAAAAAATGTGACCGACAGAAGTTTTTAATGGTAACGATGGGAAATGGGACCCCCAAATATTATTTAATATTAATTTCATTAAAAATATTTATGGCCTTTGTCTCCGAATCTAATTTAAATTAAAAAACAATATATTTTTGTTTTTTAATCTCCATCCCCTGTTGATGGCATGGATGGAAACTTTCTTGATTTGTGTTTTATTTAAATTAATTAATGCCCAAATGCTATTTCTTTTTTTAATCATCTACCTTGACCTTCCGGCACTGGACAGACGTCAGCCCCCATACATGATCATGAAAGCATTTTGCCAATTAAAATTAATGCTTGTAATGTATTATTATCACTTTAATATGTGTTAGGTTGAACTACTTTTGTCAATCACAATACCATTTTTATTATACAAGAAAATGACCGTAAATCAAATTACATATCTGATCCATCTATCGGTATCATCGTGGTTTTCTATTCGTAGAAAATTGTTTAAAGAAACGTGTTCTAAAAAGTTAAGGTATTTCAAATTCAAATTATTTGTTGATACGAACAAAGTTAAGAAAACCCTCTGCATCTTTTTAATATTAAACCTTGAACATATAATAGTTTCCAATCGGATGCTTTTGTCTCATGGTGTCCATTTTTTAATGCGATTGAAATTCGGTTTATATGGATGGTCAAAAACAAGAAAAATATGTTTCAAAAGCCTTTCATTTAAATTGGTATTTTTTCAGTGACATAACGTTTAAATAATTTGTGAGGTTGAATACTTGATTTAGTGAACAAAATTGAATAAAACCTTTATTTTTTAATATCATGTTATAATCATATATTTCTGAATAACTTTATTTTGTTTATTTTTGGAACAATTATCAATAGTAGTATGTGCATGCATATTGGCCATTGCATTTGCATATGCATATGCATACGCATACACAAGTTGAAAAATGTGATCCATATATGCATACTGACTTTGTGAATAAGTTGGAAAAATTTGCATGTATGGAGATGATTCATATATGTATACTAACCACTGCATATGAATAATAAGTTAGAAAAATGTGCATGTGTGGAGATGATTCACATATTATTATACAATTTCGTATGTGAATAAGTGAGTAACAAGACACAAAATACACACATCTTCTGCGTTGTCATCAACCACCAATAATTGGATATGAATTTTCTTCAATCAAATGATGCAAAATACACAAACGGTTTCGGATATATCTTAATTGAAAATCATTTGCAAAAATGCAAAAAAAAATGCTATCAATGACAAAACCATTTCCTAAATTATAGGGATATTTTCTTTTATTTTTTAATTAAAAAATTAAATACTAAGACAATATTGCTCTTTTTGATCAAAGGTAAAATAATGAAAAATCTCCTTAAATATGTGCAAGATAAAAGGCTATGATTACGTAATAGATGGTTGTATTGGTTGTAACATTTTTTTTAATTAACCTGGATATCCTACCCGTTATGCGAACCGACTAATCACATGACGATCATCTGTATTGATTGTAACCTTTATAAATGTTGCATTTGATTTGTGTTATATACATATGTATATATAATATAAATCAAATGCAATATTTTCAAATGTTGCAACTTATGATACCGATAAAATTTATTATGTATATTGTATTAGAATGCTATGATTTCTAATTTTACCATTAGTTATAAAACTAGAAAAGAATGTTATGTATCTTATTTTATCAACAGTTTTTATTATTAATTTAAAAAGAAAAAGAAATATAAAACATTATTATTTTGTGGACAAAGAACGAGCGGGGCAGATTTGCAGATCTCGAGGAAGACACGTGTTCAAATTGGTACATTTATAACGTGGACCATCCTCTGTCTACGCTCCGTACAGTAAGAACTATAATACACTCCAACCGGACCAACCCTTCATGGTTTATGTTTGTTTACATGACTCGACTCAAACCGCTTAACTCGGTTGAGTTCATTCGTCAAGGTTTTTTATTTTATTTTTATTGAATACAATAATATAATTAAAGCAATTGCATTATTATTAAAATAATAATTTGGTTTCTTTTGGCTAAAAAATCTTCTTCCATTATATAGCGATTTACTTTTTACCCGATTTAACCCTATTTATTTAGTATTCTCACAAAATACTATTTGTGAGTTATTTTCCTAAAATTGAGATCCTTATTTCGTATTGTTCGTGTTCACCAAGTTTTTTTTATATAATATTTATATACAATAAATAGAACAAATAAACTCACACACCTTCTTCACCTTTGATGTGGTTTGAACCTTGACCTCCTAAAAAGCAGATGACTTACATACCGTTAAGCCAAATGCCATTTGGTACGTGTTCACCAAATTTGTATACACATCCACATACTTCGTAAAGTTTGATGGTCAAATAACATCATTAAATTTGAATTCAACAAGCTACTAACACCATAAATAAAAACTGTACAAAAACTAACCATAAATTTGAACTTACAAAATGCCAACTCAGATATCATCCTCATCTTCTTCAGGTGCACCACCATCATCACCAATACCTTGAAGCAAACCATCTACGTCCTCTCCTAACTCCATTAATCGTCCACTCAGTTTCTCCACTTTGCTCTGTTCTTGGCCAAGGCAAACAAGCAAATCACCCAGTTCTGCTTCGCTCTCCTTCTCAGCTTCTTCCTTTGCTTCTGCTTTTATCGCCTCGATGTCTCCGTTCTTCAATGCTTTCACTTCGTTTTCCCAACGGTGGTTCGCCTCTTCTACACTGTTGTAAGCATCCGACAAGCTCTTCAGATCGCTTTCTGTTTTTGCACATAACGTTTTGTAAGAGGAAGCTTCGCTTTCGATATTGGATTTCTCTCTTCTCAGCATCTCGATTCGTTGGGATGTTTCTTGAAGATCTCTTCGTAGTGTCTCTATTTGGACCCTCTCTGAGCCACCGTTAGGTCTAGGTTCAGTTTGGGATGAACCACCTCCACCCGTGTTGGCTACATCCTCCGCTAATGTTGCATTTCTATTAACAAGGTCCTGGACAATCGAAGCAGAAAATATATGCTTAAACGTTCGTCATCCTACCTTCCTACAAACTAAACAAATAAAGAAGACCTCATGAACGGGGATAACCCAGGGTTATTAAGCACCAGAAAAGCATGGCTATAATGCAGTAAACCAAGAACCAAAATAAATGGACCCAGTGAATCCTACACAAAGGTCGGGTCCCGGGGGTGAACGCAAATTTTGCCTCTACCCGGCTTGTGAAACAAAAATTTACCTGTATCTCGAAGAAAATCTAAGACTACTGTAAAGCAAACAAGTCACACAAGTAAAAATGAATGCAACAAATTTTACCTGAATCTCGGAGCATTGTTTTTCCAGAAAGGATTTGAGCCGCTTGATATAGTCCACATCGGCTTCATCCTTTCTCTGTTCCAATTCAGCCGGCATAACAGACACGTTGCTCTTTGGGTGACTGTATATTTTAACAATGCCGTCTCTAATACCAATCTTCAAATTCTTAATGAAGTTGACAAACTGAGAATCAAACATTGAAGCAAGCATAGGGTGGTCCTCATTCTTATGTTCATATGCATCCTCTTCCTCAATATCTTCCATCTCCGCCCTAATATCAGTATTTGATCTTGTCAACGGTTTATGGCATTGAGCCGGCTTTGGGGACGAAAATATGAAGCTTTTCTGCATCTCATCTAGCCTCAGAAAGAATGATGCAAGTCCAACTTTCTGGCTTATGGCATCAACTACGCTAAAAGCATCTTTTCCTGATTCAATTGCTTTATTAAAAATAACACATTCCCCTAAAAGCATAGCTGCCAAACCTCTCACACAAACTGTTGCATCACCGTTTGATACTAATTCAACTAGATATGTTAAATGAGGACGTGAAGCCAGGAATGAATGCACTGCACTTGGGCAATCAGAGAGCCACGTGACAAGCAGTTTCAATATTATTGGTTGGACATATGAATTTGGAGTATTTGGCTTTCCGTCTTTTCCCTTTTTGGAAGATGCAAGAGCCAAGCATTTTACCAAATGGTGCAATAGGGGTTCAGGGGATCCAAATGAGGGCATCGGTGACTCGAGTTCAATTTGTAAGGCCTGCATAAGTTGAGACAAAGATAAAAACAACTATCAACCAATCTAAAACTTTTAGCATTCTTCCCGAGCGGCAAGACATGAGATTGCATACCTTTTCCTTGGACTGAATATTATCCTTCAGTACATAAGAAAGAACACTAGCAGCTCTGCAACTAGTCTGCAATACAACACTTCATTAGATGAGGTTGCATAAATGATTAAAAGAAAGAAAAGACAATATTCACAAGAAACAGTTGTGCAACATCTTTTGTCTCAAGAGTATCACACAAGTCCATGAAAATATCAGGGGCGGATTTTGGCTTAGCCTAGGGGGTGCCCGTGCACCTGCTCTATCAACCATTCACCATCGAAAAAAAATTAGGGGCCTTAAAGGTACATCCGCCTTTAATTTGATGTGTGCTCCAGTAAATTAACAAAAAGTGGCTAGAGCCTATCGGTAGTGTCGTTGCATGTGGCATTACAAGTTGCAAGTTTGAATCCTGATGGCGCTTTCACAACTTTTTGGTAAGAGCAGCAAAAAAGAAGAAAAAACAAAAAACCACTTGTATGTCATTTTCAATTAAAACTGTATGTTTTATAATTAATTTTTGCTTTATTTTATCTTAAGTTAATTATTTTGTTGCCCGGCACTTTGGAAATTTTCTGGGTCCGCATGAAATTAAGAGTTGAAAAGAACAGATTCTTTCTATAAGAAAACTAGATGGGAGGTGAAGTCCTCCATGTGCAGATTCTAGGATTATTTTGCTCAATAACCTTATTGAGAATTCTATTAAGACCATAACCTTCTGACAAGTTTAGTGGCATTCTTGTTATATGTAAGTGGCATTCTTGTATATAGAGGTGGAGTTCTAAATACTTGTCAGAAGATCATGGATTTAAAAAGAAAAATGGGAGAAGGTCGTTCAACCGATGGACCACAGATTCTATCAAGTTCAAAGGTTCACAGTACCTCAAGGTCACCGTCATGTTCACTCAAGACAAGACCATGCAATAACATGCTGCAAAAAAGACGTGTGAACAAGAGAGAACATTTATCCAGCGAGAGGCTTTCACAATCCTGATAAAGAAAATCTTAGCATTAAGATAAAGAATATACCTTCCAAATGACATGTTCACATCCTCCTCAAGTGGAGCATGGGTCATCGAGAACGGCTGAGGAATCAGGGTGGATGCTAGAATTTTTTGACCATCAGTGTTTTCCTGTTCAAGCATATTGTAGGAGGTGAATTCATTTTGACATCAAAACTGGAGGCAACAGAGAAAGTTCTACTATGATGTATGTAAGGTCACAGCATGTTTTAGAGAACAATGAAAAAAGAAAATAAAAAATACTTCAGAGATGATGTTTGGAATAAAAACCTCACAAAAGCTCTTGAAAACATAGTCAGCAGCAATGAATTCTTGAATGCTAGAAGTCCGTAAGATAATTCGCAGGATTGAATTCAGAGCTGGCTCAACCTGTGGCTCATCACCAAGAAATTTGCTTGCAAGATTGTCAAGATTCTGACGGTGTCCAACTATTAGATCACCTATGCATCGAAAAGCCTGAAAATGTGATAGAAGTAATACATGTCAGAATTGTTGTCTTAAATTAAGAAGGAAAAAAGAAAATCTTTGTGCTTCATCAGTAATTTTAATCACCCACTTGGAATCACCTTCATTTGAGGGATTAAAGTTTCATCTTGATTTCATTTAATTGCAAATAATTCCGCATATGGTATTTCTTACTTTTTATTGTGTAACTAAATAATTTATTCCAGCAACTTGAGTGATTTAGGTTTTTTTCAATTGCAGTTGCGAGACTTTTTCTTAATCCCTTTTATGTGTCTCCTATTTGTACATTCCCCCTTTCATGATGTCGGTAGTTTGCTTGTGTGATGAAAAGGATCCTTTGTCCATTCACCGAAATAGGGGTTAGCCATTTGGGACTCCGGACTTTTCAACCTTTCATATTTAACTCATGTTCGTGTCATTTTAAGTTCATGCATTTATTTTAATTAATCTCGAAACTCAACACCCCCTTTTTAAATTATTGAATTGTGTTTACTCTTGCTTAGAAGAAAACCACCGATCTACTGTTTACCATTAACAGAACTAATTTTGTGTAAACAGACATGGGATTATTATCTGTTGGTCTCCACAACCACCATAATCACATATCCATAATCGATTGTGATGTCACCAAGTTTATTTTAAAAGCAGTTGAACCTTTGTTTGTTGATGGGGGACAGTCAGACATATGTCCACCTTTTCTATTGACAGTCCGTCACTGTTTAAAATGGATATGTAACATCGACTACATTGCTATGATGTGTCCAAGCTTACTCAACTACATATCTATTAACAAAAATCTATTACTGCTACAATAGATGCAACTTAGGTCACAGTCCTCATAAATACAAATGCTAGTCTTTAGGCATGTATTGCTGCTATTAGGGACACAGATACAGGCATCACATGAAAGGCGTGCCTCAACGCATTAAGAATCCTCACTTTTGTTAGGTTGGGCAGGAAAATCTTTGTACAGTGCCATGTATCACCATTAAAATCTTGTAACACTACAGCTAATAAATTTGCTCTACGGTATGTTCAACCAAGCATAGTAATCTTATCTTTTTGAAAGAAGATAGAGAACTATAGAAGTCGATCTGATGGAGAAGAATGTTTCTCAGATTGGAAGTTCTACATAATACAATGAAAGGCATTTCAGTCATGTCCTTGAGGTATTACTAATATCATCAGACATGTTAACAATCATTCATCCCCCCACGTCACCAGAGATGATCACAAGATGTCTCAATGAAGCAAATAAGAGTTATCTTACCCCACAACGGACAGCGACAGGAGCCCATTGGCTTTCAACTCCTAGCATAAGTAGATGGTCCAAAACTTTTCTCTGTGATGATAAAGAGGGGGAATAAGTGATAATTATGCAAAAACTCGATTCTGTAAATAATAGATACGGATGAGGTTTTGGATATAACCTGAACCAGAACTGTTTTGTTGGTCAATCTCTCAACATCTTTTGCTGGATCAGCTTCTGAACCTCCATTCAGCAGTAACCTGATTGTTTCTAAAACACACAGTAGATTTATTGTCTACTGGCGTCAATTTGTTTATAAGACAACAGTAGGCAACGAGTCAGCCTCTATAGAAAGAAAACTATAAAAGCATGATAAACAGAAGTTACGACTATGCATATATAAAACACCCACAAAAAGATAAGTTAAAATAACTAATAAGCATTTGAAGTCTAACCTTCTGTTGAGTAAAGCTGTATGTGCTTCCACGGAGTTTCAAAATCGATATCAATGAGTCAAAGCCTATAGTCTCCCTCAGCAACACCTATAGCATTGTTATAAACAACAGGGCAAATACAAAGCTTCAACCCACTAAATAGAAAACAAGAAACCCAAACCTGATTGGATGCATTGTTGCGGAGGAGATTATTCAACAATTCAAGACAATCCTGTTAGGTAATAAGAATATCAATGGATTTAGATTTTCACAACCAACTAAATCTTGATGCTACCACATGCAAGTATGCAACAATAATGATTGAAAAAAACTAGACCTCAACAAAGATAAAGGCTGTTCACAATTTGCAGGAATGTGATACAAACAACTGACTTAGTAACAAGTTGGGTCAATTAGATGAGCAAATCATCAAGTAGGGCCACAAGTATATCAACAGATTTTGAATTTCATGGTAAACAACTTCATCTTGATGCTACCACACAAAGTAAACTATTAGAACTAAATTAAGATAGACTCAACAATTCATGAGGGCTGATATAAGTCGACTGATAACAGAACAAACAATCAAGTATAGAATCACTCGGAACTTGAAAGGGGGACGATTAGCTAACGCTAAGGGTGTCATAAACCCCTTATAAAGAAGAATATCATAAACATACAATAGAAACAATTGGCAGTACTAAATTTATACATGCAACTAATAAGTTCCATCATACATTCGAAACAATGAAAAGCTCCATAAATTCGAAGTGTTTACGCTGCTAATACATTAATCAAGGATCATAAAGTAACATTCAACCAATTACCTGCACAACAACACCACCTTCTGAACCGCCCTCCTCCTTAATGATACTGAAAATCTTCTCAAAAGCACCTTCAAAGACCAAAATTTTTTGGATTTCCTTGTGAAGTAATCAAGGAAGATCAGGAAGGACAACAAGGAATCAAACTCTGATACCAAATACAGAAGAATGTTGACTGTAAAGAGAAAAAGATTACCTCAGCTTCACGGGTCAAGTAGGTGAGAAGTAACAACGCCTCATTCCGTATGACCTACAGGGAAACCAACCGCTGTGTTTAAAGATAGAAGAACAATGAATATCACAATATTGTATGACTTCTGTAGCTTTACCGATTCATACCTCCCGATCCATAAGCATATCCACAAGCCGGGTTATACCACGAGGGATTGTGAGAATGGCTTCCTGTAACCTGAAGAAAACCTCAGTATATTTTTCTTAGACAGCAGTAGCCAAGTAAAAAAGAAAAATTAGAGAACCAGGGGAAAGTGGTCACAAGAAATACCTAATGGGGGAGTTTGCTAACAGTGCGGTTAAAACTTGAAGCGTATAATATCGTACGTAGAAGTCATCCTCCGACTGCCAAAATACTGAATTACCACCACAACAAATATAGAGTATATTTCTCTTAAGGTATAATTGGATAAAAATATAGAAGCCTTACCAACAGGCTTAGAAGAAGAGATATGTTTTGCTCGTCTCTTGATAAAAGATCTGAATTCATCGAAGCTGGTTGAACCTCATTTTTGTGTGATTTTGCATGTGTAACTGGCGTTAAGGCACTCACAAGAGTTTCAACAGCCCCACGTACCTTCAACAATACATTAATATACAGCATTATTAATTGAAAGAGATACCGCCATAAACATGATGCAAAGATAAAAAACAACAATGAAAGTCAATAAATATAAAGACTAAAAAGTATTGCATTAGTTTAAAATGTTCTAGTAGGCAATGCTAAGAAGTTGGTTACAATGCAGAAAGACAAGCATCGGCACGTACATGCATTGGACCATGGTAGTCACAACTCACCACAACTCCTTTTCATCCTTTTCAGAAGTAATAAAGTAAGACCGAAAATGACTAATTTGCAATGACATTTTATTTGATTAAACTATTTTCTCATTCAAAGCATGTAAGGAGTAGTGTCAAGTTGCCTGGTAAGTGGTGACAAGTGAGATGGTAATTAGTGAAGTTGTTTTTGCAAAAGGGTGAGGCAGAAACACCAAGCTAGTAAACCTCCACAGAACTGAGATGTAGAACAAAACTGTTTCTGTAGCTAGTAAAAAGATAAACAGTAGAGAAGTCTATTACATGCATGTGAGCATGTCCACACAGCCTGATCCTTCTATCTTTCTATCTCATGCAACAAATACATAGGGCACATGTCTGGACTCCGATCCATTAATCTTCATATAATAAAAATATTGGGCAGATTAATAATGTGAAAGAAGCTGTAACATAAAAACAGAAGAGAATGGCAGGGCCAACAATTGACATCTCTGTGGTCCACGAAACCATCACATCTTAATTCTTAAAGTCAACCAGAATATGTGCATGCATGATCGAAATTACTGCCCAACCTGACAGCGGACAGCTAATGCGTTCCGCATACTGAACATGGTGCTATGATCAAGTTACAAGCATAGAAGAAGAGGTGCATTCCTAGTCATCTTGACTACTTCCAGTTTCAGATTATTATTTGTGTAACCTTGAATGCATATAGTCCAAGGAAATGACAACTAAATTAATATAATCAACTAGCCTATTAGGACCTAGGAGTGCTCTCATTGTAAATCCAATATGTATTCCAGTTCATAAGAAATTCACAAAAAAAAAATTAGTCATTAGAAAATAAGAGACAGGCATAAAAATTATTACATAACTACATAGCCATAAATTATGAAGAATAATGTTGATGGAAGAAGCTTTCAAACCATTTCAACATCATCATGTTCCTTGAGGACTCCAAAAAGTACAGGAAATCCTGCAATAGAAGGGAACTATTATGTTGTGCATAATGAATGAAGTACACACCATCTAACCAGTTTATACGCACCCATTGCCCCCAAAGCCAGCTGGGCTGTATGACTTTCTGCAACGACAGACTGAAGTTCAGCCATGGCATTTCTTCTATCCTCGGCCAGCTTACCATTACTTATACAATCGAGCAAGCGCTCAACATAGCTATCATGCAAACAGGAAGTATATCAGTCACAAAAGAGAGGAAATACCTAGCAAGAACCTCATCAGATAGTAATTTAAGCAAATGTCCTGTAAAAACAATATCTATTTTCCTTTAGAAATCAGAATAATTCATCATTATTTAATATGTTCTGTTCATAAGAAAATAAATTATGATGCTCGTCGGTTTGTCCTTGCAGAAGCACCCCATTCCACAGAAGTTGCATCACCATGATGAGGTTAAATCAGATATGATTAAGTAGAAAAAAAAACAAGATTAAAAAAAGGAAAGATTTCAAGCAAGAAAGTACAACTCTAAGTCAAAAAATTAAAATTGGCTGACACCTTAGAAGTCATAACAACCATCCAGACTAAAGGCCAGGCAAGAATTCCAGCACCTCTACCACAACACTCGAACAACTTTTTCTTCAATTTTTGGTTTAATGAGAGGATCAAGGATTCTATATATAGTACATTAAACAATGACCTAGCTGTGGAAGTGGAACAATACACCATTGGATTTGCAATGTACGATCAACTTTATGGAATTCATCAACTGTTACAAAAAACAGGAGAGAGAAATAACAACTGACCTATCGTCATTGGAACTTGAATTTTCATTTCCAAATACAAGTCCAACGACTCCCTGCACATCAAAAACGAACTCAGTTGTCAATCAGAACCATTAAGGCAAAGAAAAACAACTCATCATCCTTTACCACATTACAACTCAATAATTACCTTGTAACCAGATACCAAATCCATCTTCTTCATCCAAATTGTAGCACTTAAGAACTTGATTATAAAAAAAGTAAGGAACAACTTAAGAATCTGCAAAATTAATCACAAAATGGTAAAAAAACCTGCTTGATAAAATTGTGAGAACTTAATCAGAAGTAGAAACCCGAATTTCTGTACAAAAAGATGAAAAAAGAGAAAGCTAAATCCTCAGACAAATGTAGATCAATCAATCAACAAATGCATGTTAACTTAGCCAGAATCATAAACTGATCAAGATAACGAATCGATATAATCATATCACATGTGACAGTACATGTAATCAAGTAGGAATTCATTAACACAAATCATAAGTGAACAATAGGATCAATCAACAAGTAGAAAAAGCCCTAAATCACGAAACTCCTTTAGACGTGTACCTGACCCTGAGAGACTTGAAAGAGATGGTAGAGGGAGAGAGATGGGTCAATTGGTCAAATGCAAAATTTGTATTTCAACGAAACAACCATAAACGATATTTGGGCCGGATCCATTAGATAGAGCCCAAGCCCAAATTTTAGTTCTTTTTTGGATCATAACCTCTTCCTATTTTATCGGCCCTTATACTCTATTTTCGTTTTTTTAATATTAAATTCTCTATGAATTAAGTTGTCTGTTTAAGGCACCGGAGATTAACAGGATTTTTTGGAAGCAAAGAAACAGGGTTAGATTATTTATGGGTTATTTTTGTTATTAATTTCTTTAAGGTGACTTAATGAAAACAAGTGAGGGATCGTGACTTATTCCATATAGCCATTTTGGCTTAATGGCTTAATAATTAAACCGTGAAGAAACAATCATGTTGACTTAATAATAGGCTGACTCTAGAGTTAATTTTTTATGAATATAAAATCTAACGTTTTTTCACAAATTCAAATACTTGTATTGGACGGTAAATGAGTCATTTTAATATTTAGGCACCAAAATAAATTTTCAATAAAGTACCAAAAGCCACTTGATTGCAATTTTTTTTTATTAACTTGGATATCCAACCCGCAATGCGAGCCGACTAATCTCAGGACAACCACCTGCTTTGCAGATAGTCCAGAGTCACCGCATTTGAATCTTCGTGGCCACAAGGGGAATTTTATTCATGTTTGGATTTAAACCTGAGACATCCAGGTACTTTTGACATTTGAAGCGAAACTTAAACCAATCAGACACCACCCTTGTGATTTGATTGCAATATTTTGTTGCCAAAGTTGATAAAACTCTATAATATGTCATAGTAGTTCTAGAAGTTTATAGACGTATCAAGTAGATAATATTTCATATTATTATAAAGAATCAATGTCTGACCCATAAGTTGATTAACAATCAGCTGAATATGTTTCAAAACAAGTATATATGTTTAGTAACATTACGTGTATTTTGATGACATTTTAAATAAACATGATAAAATAGAAACGTAAATAATGATTGAAAATACTTATATCAATTTCGAATCAACCACTTTATATAATATACAAACATACAAATGATCTTATTGTTTCATGTTAAAAAGTATTACGTTCGTTGTCATATAAATATATGTTTACTAAAACGGAACATGCGTATTATATCATACGAGAATCGGGAGTGTTCTTTTTTGTGTTTCTTAAAAAGTGAAAACACCATTGTTTTGCAATCGATGACGTCTTTACGCTCCTCATTACCCTATATGGACGTTCTCACGTATTTACTTAAAAAGACAAGATATATGAATGTCATATCTAGCTAAGAGTTTACCTATATTTCCATGCCCGCATGCTTTAAATTTTACATCTAATAAAGCGATCAATAAATGCACGTTATTCTTCATTTGATGAATGAAAAGCGAACAAGAAAACATATTAAATGAGAAAAATATCGGTTGTCTTTTATATGAAAAACGGGACATCAAGGGACCACGATAATAAACCGACGACAAGAAATTAATACGAACTTTGTTTTAAAATATCTAGTCCTAATCTTCTAAAATTAAAACCCTAATCAAAAATTCGTGATAACAAAATTGAGTTTATAGGACGTCTAAAGTGTTTAAGCGTCCCAATGAAGTGCCTTATATGACATTATTTTATAGGACAAAAAACCAACACGTCCTATCTAAAATTGTTGCTATAAGTTTACCGGAAGCTTTTGGGCTTTGTAGCAAGTTTTTTAAGATCATTTTAATACAAAGTGTCATATTAACTATTTTATATGAATGCGTCCTATAAGAAAATGAGTTTATAGAATATTTCTCAAAAGTGTCCTAGAAAATAGTTATACAACGCTTTATTTTAAAAGGCACCTAAAAAACTAGTTACGACGTGCAAAAGAGTCTTATAAACTTATTATAACACTTTTAGATAGAACGCTTTACTTTTTGGTCCTATAACATTGAGTACTATAAGACACTCTAGTAGGACACTTTAGACGTTCTATAAACCCAATTTCGTTGTAGTGACTTTTCTTGTCCAATTTAATATCTTTTTAAAATATATAATAATTATATATAACATATACTCATATACATACGTTTTGCTTGAATTATTGATCTCCTGAAAGATTAGACCTTGTCGGTAACCACATACCACTAATCCAAATGACCAATTAGCTTTTGATCGAATTTAATAGTGTATGACAAACAAAGCTGGACACTAATAAATATATAAAATTTTGTTTATATATATGTAAAATTGTGCATAGGCCCCTAAGAAATTGGAACACCTTTGATGTAAACTTCAACCACAAAAACCTTGATCAGTTAGCTTGTGCTTTCATATGATTTGACTGGTGTTTAAGTCTTGCCCTTTTTGTAGATCAAACCAAGAAAAAAAACCCATTTTTTTATATTATTATCTTTGAAAAAAATATGATAAATTGCAATCAAAATATACGATTTTAACCATAAATGTTTAGCAATGCAAGTCGTGAAACACATTCTTTGATATAATCTGCTATTTTATGCAAACTTAAATGGCATGTTGTTGAAAATGTATGAAATCAAACATTTGATTCGTGAAAAAGAAGAGGAGAATCTAGATGCATGCCCAGAAGAGAAGGAAGTTGCAAATTCTTGCAATGAATCAATGGAAGATTTCCCATAATTGGTTTTCTGGTCTAACATATAACAATGAAAAATTACTAAAATGTCCTTCGAGTCCAAGACAAAAAAGCTTTATAAAAATCTATGCTAGCCATTCAAGTTCTGAATTTGATTTTAATCTAAACCCAATTTAAGTATACCTTAAGCTAGAAGAAGCCTAGAATTCAAAACTATAAACCCCGTATTTTCTTTTTAATTTAAATATTTATATATATATATATATATATATGTATATATATATATATATATATGACTAGAGGACGTCTAGAACTAATTAAATATATAATTGTTCTTAATTAACCAGCCAGATCATGAAGGAGCTGTGCACCCATCAAGTTTCTGTAAGGCAAATTCTGTCCTTGATCATCACCTTCCAAGAGAGAAGAATACTGGACTGCAGTTTGACAATCTTCAATATGATCACGAGGGTAAAATAGGGAATTCTGAGAAGTAGGGGAGAACGCTAAACTCACCCCACCACCACCACCACCGGTACCATTGCCGCCACCATGTTGTTGCAGCCCTAAGGTCAAAGAAACTCCTCCAGTACCACCGCCACCATCACCACCGCCACCAAAGTTGTGGTGATTGTTGTAGGACGAAAAGTCCAGCTCCACCGCCCCAAATGAGTTTGTTACTCTAGAAAAACTGTGGTGAAAATCATGATCTTGGGTTTTTGTCCGGTGGTGGTCCATTTTTTCAGGGTGGTTGATGATGGAAGAAAGACACTCAGAATCTATTCGAACAAGCTCATCAGCAGTCGGTTTTTGGTCCATTTGAGGGTTCGGATTGAACCCATCTGAGGTTCCTTCCATGGTTTCTTGATTTGTTTTTGTTTCTTCCACATACATCTCCTCCACCATGGGCTTCCATAGCCTCACCCTTGCATTAATAAACCAATTTGATACCTACACCAAATAAAATATCTATATAAATAAATACAACACCTTTACTTAGTTAGTTCTTGTATGTGGTAATTGTATTAATTAGGGTTTATGTTTGATATATAAATAGTTGTTTGGAGTTCTTCAAGAAGTTGTTACCCTCGTTAGGGTGTTGTTGCCATTAATTAATGCTGTGCCATTTAACCTTTGCATTTTTTCCAATGAAGAACTTGGAAATAAAGGAAAATCATTATTATTAATAGGGGTAAATCAATAATAGAGAAGAAACCGATGTCGACGTACCTGGCTTCTTGAGAGACCGGTTTGACGTGCAAGAATGTGTTTATCAACATCATTCGGGTACCTGAATTATGTTTCGATAAAATTAGAGATAATAGAACAACTTGTAACGGCATATCTAAATTATATAATTAATCAACTTGAGATCGAGTAGATTTTATTTTACAGATTATTTGAATAAATCCAATATAAAATAAAAAGATTGTGTGGATCGTGAGGCTTGAGGGAGGTGCATATGAATACATGTATTCATGGGACCTGTAGGAATCAAATCCACAAAAAATATAACAGGAAGGCCCCAAAAGGAAAAATAAAATTAAATAAAATTATGATGAGAGAGATAATATGACAAAATATATATAGGAATCAAATTGAGGGTAGATGAAAACAACCAAAATACCAAATTGTCTTTCCAAAACGTATGATTGAGGACTGAAATCAGGTTTGTTAGTACTTGGGTATGATTTTTTCTTTTCAAGCAAATGATATATGCCACAAGTAATAAGGGTTTTGGCGAACTTATAGGAGCTTACGGATGGAGAAAGTGCTCAAAGAGCCAAGCACGGAGAACAGATACAGAACGTTCAGGCAACCCGCGTTGAGGCCTCCAAGGATGGCTATCCATCATGGTCATTTGTTGAAAAGCCCTTTGTTGCCTTAGGGTTTGATCAAGAACCCTAAGTCTAGGAGTCTCTCCTCTACTCGTCCCAGGGGCAGAAACGTCCTTTTCTCCCATCGCGACCTTTGTCGTCTTCATCTGGCTCACAATACTATCTCTCAAACACCTGAAATGCCTTGACATTGCCTTTGAAGCCAAGGATGAGTAAACTTTTGCTGCACCATTACCAGCCACTGCTTCAAATGATGATACAACTGCTTTCATTTGATCACAATAATGCTTGTATCTTCTATCAACCTAATTTAAACAATAAAAACAAAACAAAGATCAGATCTTTTTTCATGGGTCTTCATTTAATATCAAAAATACACTTGAAAAGGTGAGTAATAATTACAAAGAACAAAAGAAAATTCAGAACAAGAATGGAGGTTTCTTGAATTAAATGAAGCATCCAACTTGTCATCATGTGAGCATTTCTGGGAAGGTCTTCAGTCACTCAAATGGTTCAAGATCAAATTTTGAAAAAAGAAATCAATTTCTTCTTCAACTAAAAAAGGAATCTTTAATTATAAAAAAGGAGAAAGAAAGAAAGATACTTTACAACAATATAATCAAAACAATTTGTATATATATAAAGCATGAAACATATGATCAAAATATGCAAGATTTAAATTATAAAGTTTAAGAATATTATACCTCTTCTAGCATTTGCAGGAGCTTGGTTTTTCTTTTCTGTAACTCCATAAATTCAAGAGATGATAAAGATTTGGTTTTTGAAGAAGTAGCATTATTCATGTTATCATGATCTTGCCACTGATTTGAAGTTGTGGCTGCAGCCTTTGCTTTTGGTGACTGATCGCTTTGGTGCTGCTTTGATCCAAGATTACAGAATTCATTGAGGAGCTCCTGTGCTGGAACCAAGTACCTTGAGCTTCTTATGTTGTACTGTGCACTTTGATGGTGGTTATAGAGCGATGAACCTTCACCACCATCACTACCACTGTTGATGATATTTCCTGGTTTTCCCAAAAAACCATCTTGAGTCATCATGTCCTGATGATGTTGGTCATGATCAATACTCATGGATTTCCCAAAATACCCCTGTTGGTGGTGATGTTGATATTGATGTTCTTGTGGTCTTGCAAGTTCAAATGGCTGTATTCCGATGGTGGAAGGGTTAGCTGAAGAGAGAGAAAGAGAGAGGCCTTGACTTGGCCTTTCATTTGGTTCACAAGAAAACACACATCTTTGAAGAGATGACTCATCAAAGTGATAGAAATCACCAGCTGAGATCGAATCGGTGATGGGTTTGGAAGAAGGAGGAGGAGAAGGACCTTTCCAGAAGAGAACTGAGTTGTGATGACTCACTGGGTTGTGTGACTCAAAGTTGAACATCTCTAAAGGGCTTGTTTCAAAGCTGGTGGTAGGATTATGGTTACTTGATGAGTTCACATGATGATCATCAGTGTAACAATTGTAATTACCTGTAGAGCTTCCCACCATTATATCATTCCCTCTTATGATCTTCTCTTCTTCTTCAGCCATTTCTAGCTATTCATATATGATGATGGTTAAAACCCAAAAAAGTATCAAGACTATCTTTTAATTTTGATCTTTATAAAGCTCTTCCTTTTGCAGCCACAAAACAACCCATCAAGATCTAAAAAGAAGTTATCTTTCTGATGAAAAACATGTGGGAATTCAACAAGAACAAAAAGCAAATTCAAAAGTTTCACCTTTTATGCCAAGCAACAGTGAAAAAAAACAAGTTTCTGGAGAGAGAAATTTTGATTAGAGATGATGGTAGTGATGGTGGTGGTGGTGGTGGAGAAAATGAAACATCAACTGTCAAAGAAGGGTGGTGCCATGAAAACCAAACCTAGGAAAAGGAAGCTTAGATAAATATACGATGAGAAAACCCTCTGTACCGATGATGATGACGATGCCTTTCATGGTATGTTGATCAGCATCATATCATAAATATATGCATACAGTATATGCATCTATGTGTTCTCTCTTTGTAAAGGGCTGTGTAGGGGTCAATGCACACAGATATAAATACATCCAAAACAGACTTCTTAATTAGAATATCAAGTCTTCGTCCCCTTATTTTCATTTTCACCCCCTCATCAATCACAAAATGATAAAAGAAACAACATTCAACATTTTTATAATAAAATATGCATATGATGATTAGTGTACCAATAATTTTAGTATTTCTTTCTAATTATAATATTTGATCATTAGTTATATACTTAAATCCATATTAGCCTCATTTTTTTCTAATAATTATTATATACTAAAAAGAAAAACTTTACCAACTTATTAGATATCGACATATACAAACATAGCTATGACTAGTAGTTTCGAGGGGGTTGGTCACATAACTTCGAGGAACATCCACCTACCGTCCATTCCTTCATTTTTATTGCTAGACATTAGATTATACAGTTGTTTAAAAAATGCATTAAATTATTTAAATAACCAAATATTTGTTTTCTATCAAGGACATCATGAATACATGATTGTCTTCTTATTTAAAGAGAGTGAAATGAGTCATTAACTCGATTAGCCCTTATTAGTAAGAAGTTGTTCGTTCCTTGGATCATTAAAATTACCTTCTGGGTAGATCCGTTTGATATCCAAAAACTGCTCTCCATCTAAGGTCAGGAAGGAACCTGAGGGAAAAACCACGAATAACACAAAAACACATCCACTACTACTCATAAAGTATAGTAAGAAAACGAATGTAAATTATGCATACAATGTCAAAAACGAATTTAATGCTGCTAAATATTATTGTTAATATAAAAAACCACGTTGCTTCAAACTCTGTCACATGTTTTCTTGGTGTGATTTAATATTACGAAATTAATATATATATATATATATATATATATATATATAGCGCTAGTTTCGTAAGTAAAATTAATTAAAAATATACTAAAACTGCAAAAATTAAAATAATTTACTTAATTTTTGCATCTAAATAAAATAGTGAAATCAACAGTACATTTTTAATGTAGAACCGTATAAAGTACAACTATATAAGATCGTTTCTTAATGATACTTCCGACACATTAATTAATTAATATGCTTAATTACTACATACATGAACACTAAAGCCAGGTATAGTCTATACCTAGCTTATTTAAGTGAGTAAGTTCTTCCAACGTAAGAAACGAATTTGGTCGTATTAATATGTCAAAAAATTTCAAACTTATTAATAATCAATGCATTCATTATTATTATAAAAACCATATCATTAAAACAAAATTGTAAACATTTAAAAAATATTTTGCATAATGTCACGTATTTCATCTTCCATAAATCCTTACTTATGTTGTTAAATACATTTGTATTTACTAATTCTCTTCTCACATACTTCAGATTCAATACTTGCTTTTTGCAATTATAATGCATGATTTAACTTAATTCTGATATAAATATGGGAAATTGACCAAAATAGTCAATTTTTCAAACCACGTTCACTTTTTAGCCATTTTTAGAACCAAATTCCTATTTTAACCAGAGTTAATGCATATGCTTTACGCATTTACATAAACCTATTTCTAGAGTAAAAAATAAAGAAAAAAAATTCTTTTTTTAGTCTTAAAATCGAGTTTATACAAATAGAAAAGGTATTTTACATAAACTCTAATTAAAATAGAAATTAAATTAACAAAATAACTAAAAAGTGATCTACCATTTTTCTATAAATAAGAAAAAATATAATAAGTGGTTGTTTGTTTACCTCTTAGTAGTTCCATTAAAAGACAATATCTGAATCGTTAAGAGATGAATCTTGTTTGAGAAAATTTTTTTTGCCTCTTAATGGTTCTAAAACTCTCTGAATGATTTTTGTATCATGCGTCTTCTTTAACCATTAAGAGCCATAATTTTATTATAAACAATTACTAAACAATTATATTTTATTTTGTACTATATTATGAGAATCTGTTAATTATTATGACTATTTAATTAAGAAATATATAATATTAATTGAAGGGCAGGAGTTCCAAGAACAATAAAGTGAAGCAAAGTAGGAGTGTGAATTGCAGCAGGTGGTGTAGCATTAGCCATTAGGGATGGGTTGGGGTGGGGGGTGGGGCTGCAACTTCTTTTTTCTGATCAAAGATTCATCCAAAGTACACACACCAGAGATTCCACCCAATCACCCTTCTCTTGTGGGGATCATCACTTTTATTTTATTTTATTACTTTTACGGCATCAAAATACACATTTAATAACTTACATTTATTGTTTTTATAAACCTTTATTATTAACTTTTATTATACTTGCCAAAATTAAAATCCTAATTTTATACCATGTTAAGGGGTTGTTTGGCAGTTACTAAATGATTTTATGTAGAATCGTTAAGTGATCATAATGATTAAAAGACTCTCATGAAATATAATTGTTTGATAATTGTTTACAATGAAATTATGGCTCTCAATGGTTAAAGGAGATCCAAGATAATCATTCAGAGGATTTTAGAACCATTTAGAGGCAGTTTTTTTTTTTTTTTTTGCCAAACAAGGTTCACCTCTTAACGATTCAGAGATTGCATCTTAATGGAACTATTAAAAGGTAAACAAACAACTCCTAAATCAAAAACCTTAAAAGATTAACTAACTAAAACTTATTTTTAAATATTACAACATTTATACGTTACGACTTCTTAATCCTTTACAACCGTCATCACCAACCTATACTTGTTCGCACTCCTCCCCCTATTCAGACGACACCCATCACCAACCCTACTATTGCCCCTTTTCTCCACCCCCAACTTGCAATTGCCGACGACATCTCCCACTCCCTCACATTCATTCGGGTCAATATATCGTACACTACCATCCCTTTTCATTTTTTATTTTCTAAAATTCAAAATTTGGACTTTTATAATGTGGTAGGAATAAATTATTTGGACAAGATAGTAAATAACGTTAATGTAAAGATTGGATGATATCTTATTTAATTTGATTTCTTGTTTGACATTTTTCACAAACTTTAATAACTTTCAAATCTATTATTGATCAAACCCCACCTCACGTCCCTTCTCCCTTATCACTCTTTATTTATCATATGGTAAATCAAATTTTTTGTCTTAGGGTTTGTTTAAATTTTCGGTTTTCGTCTCTAGTCTTCATTTTATTACGTTTTTTTATTATTATTGTGGTTTTCATTTCATTTTGGTTTTCGTCTTTGGGATTATCGATATTTAGTTGAGTTAGTTAATTTAAGGGTATTGTGGTCTTTTTATCCCTTTCTCTGATTCTTCTAACAAATTAAACACACATATAAATATATGTATGTGTGTGTATATATTAAATAACAATAATACATACGCTCTCTAGATTCTGTCATATCTCCTCAATGTCCAGATTCCCGGCGACACCCTCCAACGTAGCAGCCCCCACCTATCTTCACCGTTTATCCCTCCCCTATATACTCCATTCACCATAACTTTCAACCATCTTCTTCAAGAATTAATCACCATCATTGTCATCAAATATTTTTACCCAAGGCTTTGCTACTTCGGGTCTTTTAACTGAAATACATAAACCCCGCCCCTCTGCACCTATCCGATTTTTTGTGTTCTCTATACACCGGAGCCTTTACTTCATTTAATCAATGTTATTGCTAACTTGTATAGTTCACATTCCAACACAGAAGAAAAAAGTAAACGACATTCTTTTTGTTATCAAAATATACACATTTAAAAAACAACACCACCACAATGTTCTTCTCCATCGCAACATCTTCGGTGATGAGATGATCTCTCTTTATTTGTCACTCTCTCTATCTCTCTCTAAAAACATAAACCACATATACCTATCTCTCAAACACGCACATAAACACACACACGAAACTTGACACCTGTTGATCTCTCTCTCAGACACACAAAATTTGGGTCATCAATCTATTTGTAGTTTATCTTATTTGCATTTACACAAAGTTTTGGAGTATATTTGTGAAGTTGGAGTTTTTCAAGGGTAGAGGCCGATGTAAGAGGAAAAGGCATGGATGGAGGCAAGGGTTGTTCTAAGTTTTGCTTCGTCCGTGTGGGCAACCGACTAGAGAGGAGAGAGGATATAGGGGGTGGGACGAAATATTCGATGCAGAAGGAGAGAAGAGAGGGAGGAGTGGGATAGATGCATTAACGACGAATAAAGACAAAATATGTAATAAATAAAATAGAAAAAAAGACCAATATTATACCCGGTTAGCCTCTCTGAGCCAAGATTCGTTAGCCACGGGATGAAAAAAACAATGAATGCATACCATGATGATGAAAACCGTAATAAAAATGAAGACAAGTGACGAATACATAAATTTTGAACAAACCCTAGGGACGAAAAGCGTAATTTACTCTAGCATTTGTCATCCATAAAATGGTAACCTACTTATAATAAATTAAGATGATGTTTGGTTTTTATAAAGGAATGGAATGGGTACATTAGGGAATGAAAATGTTGCGGGATTAAAACACAATTTTTCGCAATTCCCTTCTATAGATGATTACCCACTTTTAATTAATCATTCTTTAAGTTATATTAAACCAGATATCATTATTCATTTCTTTCGCATTTCTCACCTCTAATAACACCAACCATACACCTCTTTATTAGTAGAAGAACGTCCAATTACAGAACTATCATAATAAGGATTATTGTTGTTGTAAAACTTTAGCATAAAAATAATGACATTTTTCTGTGAAGATAATGAGATGTATATATCAACCAAAGGAAGATTTTCAGATCGTATTCAGACCATCGTTAACGTTGAATTCGATCCAATAATGTAAGAGTATGTTCATCGTGTCCAAATTTGTGGGGGTTCATAATCATTACGTAGGACATAATGTATAAAATAAGTCAATTAAAATGTCAGCATTTGAAGTTAAAACATTCAATTTTGTCTTC